GTGCCCCAACCACTCACTCTTTTAGAAAGCTACAGAAGGCAGCTCCTGGGAGCTATAATACTAACCTTCCTGTCTCCCAAGGACCTATGTATTTGGTCCATGCACTTAACTTGTTAGTAAAAATTTGTCTCTGCTAGGTTGCAATAGTTCCACTGAAGTCTCATGATCTAACGGGGACATGGGAATTTGTAGCCCAAACCCTCTGATCCCAAAACTTATCTAAATGCAACGGCAAGAGAGTGTCACTCCTCTAATTAGGAAGACCACATGCTCATTCTCAGCAGGAAGCAGTTATGGGAGACAGACCTCCACACATTGCCCTTCAAGAATGAGGAATAGGGGTGCCTGGGTGGCTCAGTCAGTTAAGTATCCGACTTTGGCTCAGGTCATGATCTCAGGATTCATGAGTTTGAGCCCTGTGTCCAGCTCTGTGCGGACAGCTGGGAGCCGGGAGCCTGCTTCCGATTCTGTGTTACCCTCTCTCTATGCCCCTTCTGGGCTCACACGGTATTTCTCACTCTCTCTCTCTCTCTCTCAAAAAGAAATAAACATTTTTAAAAAAATTTTTAAAGAATTAAGAATGAAATATCTCAAGTGCAGGAAGTTGGGGGGCTGGGGAGGAGGGCAGATTTTGTAAAAGTAAGTAAAGTCATTTTAGGCCCCAGAGGCATTTTGTTAAAGAATGTAAGAACAGATAGCCACTCTCAGGCCTGGAGATAGTCTGATATCTTGATACGATAATCATAGCAATACAATAATCAGCAGTAAAACTCCCAGTGCTGATTTCAAAGACTGACCTGCTGTACATTCTTGAGTTATCTCAAAGGGGGAATCTAAACCCCTTTGAGCACTCCATTATCAGACCAGAGAATTGAAGATCCTTACCCTACCCAGGCCAGTCCCACTGCACAATCCCCTTCATGAATATGTATGTACCCTTACCTTAAAACTCCCCTAATTTTGCTGCTGGGGAGACACTGCTTTGGGTAACATCCCCAGTGTGGTCCTTACTTGTTGCACATAAACTCCTTCCTTTTCCTATTCTTTGGCTTAGTTGCGTCTTTTAGCTTGACACCCACGAAGAAGCAAACCCACTATTGGGTAACATACTCCCTCAACCTCCTGGTAGGAGAGAGGGCTGGAGATTGACTTGATCATAAATGGCCGGTGGTTGAATCAATCATGCTTCTGCAACAAAACCTCCATAAAGATCCCTGAAGGATGGGGGTAGCAAAGCTTTCCGGTTTGGTGAACATGTAGACATATGGGGAGGGAGGCAGGCCCAGAGAGATTGTGCAAGCTCTTTGTTCCATCTCAGATACCTGGCCCTACACATCTCTTCTCTCTGGCTGTTTCAAAACTGCAACCTTCTTTTAAACATTTTTTAAACGATTGACTATTTTGGGTTTTTTTCTCATGTTTATTTATTTTTGAGAGAGAGAGAAAGCATGGGCAGGGGAGGGGCAGAGAGAGAGAGGGAGATACAGAATCTGAAGCAGGCTCCAGGCTCTGAGCTGTCAGCACAGAGCCCTACGCAGGGTTCGAACTCACAAATCGAGAGATCATGATCGGAGCTGAAATCAGACACTTAACCAACCGAGCCACCCAGGCGCCCCCAAAATGGCAATCTTTTATAATAAACCAGTAATCTAGGAGGTGAAGCGTTTTCCCAAAATTCGTGAGCCATTCTAGCAAGTTACCCCAACACAGGATAGGGTTGCGGAAATCTCCAATGTGCAACTGGTCAGTCAGCAGCTTAGGTGACAACTTGCACTGGTGATTGGTGTTTAAATGGGGGTATAGGCGGGGGCAGTCTTGTAACAACACTGAGCCCCTAACTTGTGGACTCTGATGCTATTTCCAGGTAGATGGTATAGAATTGAGATAAATTTGTAGGACACCCTTTTGGTGTCTCCTGAGAATTGGAGAATTGCCTGGCGTGGCTTGGTGATCAGAAGTAGAGTATCACGTAGAATATAAAGGAGAACAAAGTTTTCCTCTACAGTTGGATTTGTGGCTCGCATTAAATTTCTCCTAGACAGCACTGCTTTGTAAGCATGGTAGACTCTTGCCACAAATACTTCAAGAGACAAATCGGTACCCACAGATCGACCAGTTTATCAGTTCCCGGTAAAGCTGATCCAAGGGAACATTCCTGCCCTGAGTGAAGTCGGACTCTGCACTGTGGGGCCACCCCTAGACGTGGCCTCTGGGCGTGGCCAAACCTTTGGGATGGGACACACTCCAAGGCCTGTGACCCACTGCCTTGTAGAGCGGCTGTTTCCTCCTTCTAGCTCCCTGGCTTCCCTAAGGGGACTGTCAGTTCTCCAAGGGCAGGAAATGAATTCCATTTCCTTTCCCTTCTTTGGCAGAATCTTGCCCAAGTCAGGTGGAGGCCTGGATGGTCTCCCTCCTAAACATCTGTCCTATTTCCTCCTGCACGCTCTGGCCTAGGTCCTGGTCACATGTCTGACCTGCTGCAGGATGCCTGGCCATCCCCAGCCCTCTGGTCCGGCGCTCCAGCAAACACCCCAGCTTGCTCTCTGAAACAGTTTCAAGCCGTGAGGCTCATTGACCAGACTCCCCCAGTTCGACTGACAGTATTATAGGCGAGGGGGGCAGGGCAGAGCTGGGGCTCAATTACAGACCTCTCTTTCCTCTATTACCTACTTCTGTTTTGGATGATTTTTTTCTAGGTGGATAAGAATTGAGTTGAAATTAAAAAAAACAGGTAGCAGTTGGGGTGCCTGGGTGGCTCAGTCAGTTAAGGGTCTGACTTCAGCTCAGGTCACAATCTCACAGTTTGTGTCTGAGCCCCCTGTCGGGCTGTGGTGACAATTCAGAGCCTGGATATCCTGCTGCGAATTCTGTCTCCCTCTCTCTGCCCCTTCCCCACTCATGCTCAGTCTCTCGCTCTCAAAACTAAACATTAAAAAAATGTTTTAAAGGTAGTAGTTAAAAACAACCCTGATACATACACACATATATGCACAAACCAGCTTAAAAAGGACACCCAAGAAACAGATCAGGCATGCTTGCTTCCGGGGAGAATTCTGTAGCCAGGGGTGAGCAGTATAAGGATTAAGATTTCTACTATATGGGAGCGCCTGGGTGGCTGAGTCGGTTAAGCGTCCAACTTCCGCTTAGGTCATAATCTCGAGGTTTATGGGTTCGTGTCCTGTGTCAGCCTCTGTGCTGACAGCTCAGATCCTGGAGCCTGCTTCAGGTTCTGTCTGTCTGTCTGTCTGTCTGTCTGTCTCTCTCTGTCCCTCCCTTGCTTGTGCTTGGTCTCTCTCTCTCAAAAACAAACATTAAAAAACATTTAAATATATATAAAAAAGACTTGTATTATGTGAATTTACTGTGAGTCCATTAAAAAAAATCCCAAACACTTAAAATTTATCTTTAGAATGCATCCACAAAATCTGTCCATGATTTTGAAGCCATAAAGTCCAATCCTCCTTAGTCTGGGAAAATGAGCTTTTACCACCTGGACACCCCCCTCCCTGCCCCAACAGCAGCCAACCTGCATTCTCTGATCCCACCTGTACCTTGCTGACTCCAGCCACCTGGCCTGGAGAGCCTTTGCTGTTGGGAACCTTGTCCCCCTCCAAGGCCCCCCTCAAATAGCACCTGCTACCAGGCTTCTGTCTCAGCACTGCCGGCATTTGGGGACAGTTAATTCTTTGGGTGAGGGGCCATTCCTTAACTGTAGGGTGTTTAAGAACACGCTGGCCTCTACCCACTTGTGCCACTAACACCCCCCACCCCTTTCCTGGATGCGACAACCAAAAATGACTTCAGACATTGCCAAATACCCCTGGGGACAGAAATCTCAACTGAGAAGCACCACATCACAGAAGACACTGGCACTTCCCGCTACCCTTGTCAGCTCTTCCGGCCACACTTACCACACCAGGTACCGTGAACCGCGTTCAGCTCTAATTTCTGCCCCACTGCTGACTACGGGGCGCCTCGGGGAGAAAGGGACCAGATTTCTAGTGAAGTCATATTCAAACCCCTCTCCCTACCACTTACCTGTGTGACCTTACTTGGCTTCTCCAAGCCTACAGTTCCTCGTTTTTTTTTTTTTTTATAAGATTGTTTTTTTTTAATTTTTTTTTAATGTTTTATTTATTTCTAGGAGAGAGAGAGAGAGACAGCATGAGCAGGGGAGGGCCAGAGAGAGAGGGAGTCACAGACTGAAACAGGCTCCAGGCTCTGAGCTGGCAGTCAGCACAGAGCCCGACGCGGGGCTCGAACCCACGAACCGCGAGATCGTGACCTAAGCGAAAGTCGGACGCTCAACCGACTAAGCCACCCAGGCGCCCCAGTTCCTCGTTTTTAAAAAGGAAATAACAGGGGTTCCCGGGGAGCTCAGTCAGTTAAGCCTCTGACTCTTGATTTCGGCTCAGGTCATGATCTCATTGCTCATGAGTTCAAGCCCCGTGTCTGGCTCTGTGCTGACGGCGCAGAGCCTGCTTGGGATTCTCTCTCCCCTCTCCCCGTGTCTGCCCCTCTCCTGTTCTTTCTCTGAAAATAAATAAGTAAACTTAAAAAAAAAAATGACATCCCAACCCCAGAGGGCTGAGTGCCTGACATATACTTTGCCCAGCCCACAGCAAGGGATGGACAGAGGTTGGTCCTCAATATTAATAAAGGCCCAGAAGTGTTATCAGTGGTGTAAGAGTGTGTCCAGGGTGTGGAGGGGGCCACCGGGAGATCTCTCTGTTCTCCAATGTTTCTGTTTGCAGGAAGGGTGCTCAGAAAGGGGGAGGGGGGAGCACTGGATCTGAGTCTCGAGAGATGAAGAACCCTGCCCCAGGCCGGCCGGCGCGGGGTTCGCACGTAAGGCTTTGCGGAACACACAAATGACACAGGGATCATACACGCCTGGGTTTGGGAAACACACGCCACCAGGTCCCTTCTTGCAGCCACGGGCTCTCGAACCTCCCCTGCAGACACTCGCTCGCACACGCACTCACCCAAGCCTCTCCCACTCCGTGGTGTGAACGATCTTTAATAAAAACTCTCCTGTTTCTGTCTGTCCCTGTCTCCGGAGGCATCGGGACAGGACATCTCCCTCCCTCCCCCTCTCAGAGGATGGTCTCCCTCCCCCTCGCAAAGGATGGTCTCCCTCCCCCTCGCAGAGGATGGAGCTCCGGCGGCGTCAAGGCCTGTCCTGTCTCCCAGGAGGGTTTCTGAGTCAACATCTGCAGGGGACAACAGGCTGCTCCGACTACAGGCGCCAAGGAGGAAGGGGCTTCCGCAGTCCCGGGGGCAGGGAGGGGGCACGAATCTGATCCGGTCTCTGTGTCTGCTGGGAGCAGAAGTCCTGGGGCTCTTCTCACACCCGGAGCACCTCTGTTGGAAGCCGGCTAAGCCCCTGATTGGCTCAAGTCCCGCCCCGTGGAAGAAGCAGACGAAGGGACTGGATATTTCAGGACGATGGGTGGGAAAGGGCGCGTTGTCACAAACCAATGAACATGAACAATGTCTCCCTGGGCTGGGCCCAGAGCACCAGGAAAGGCCCAGCCAAGGAGGTGTGCTCTGCTTCTGGCTCGTGGCCACATCTCTTGCCTGCGGCTCCAGGAGCAATGGAGGTCAAGGGCCGAGAGGCTGGACCAGGTGCCCTGGGGCCCCGAGGCCCCAGAGTGCTGCCCGGCAGTGGTTGTTGGCAAAGAGGAAGAGGTCCGAGGTGGCCTGGCCTGGCCAATTAGGGATCGACGAAGGACACGGCAATGTAGCGGGTGCCCCTGGTGGTGGGGAGCCCCTCGTGGTAGTGCGTGAGTCGCCCGGGGTGCATGAGGGTCCAGCCCTTCCGTGGGGCTCGGACGGAGCAGTTGTAGCGCAGGAACCGACAGCCTCCGCCCTGGGAGACAGGAAGCGTCAGTTTTCTCCCACGGGGAAGCCGGGCCCTGCCCCCACCGCCCTAGTCCCCCTGACCCTCCCCCCCAACCTGAGCCACTGCAGCCCAGGGGTCCTCAGCCCAGCCACAGCTGCCTAAGAAAGACACTCAGCAAAGACAGGGAGCACTGAGCACTGGCCTTAAGCTAGGCAGCCCTGGGCAAAGGTTGGCTATGTGCTTTACTAACTAGGTGACCACCCCAGGCCTCAGTTTCCCCTTCCAAGAAACAGGCATGAACCTCATGGGGCCATGAGAATTAAGCGAGATGATCCAGGTAAGAGCTTAGGGCCAGGTTTCTCAACCTCGGTGTTATGGATGCTCGTGGCCAGAAAACTTATATATTTTTTTAATTGTGGTAAAAGGCACGTAACCTAAGCTTTACCATCGTAAACATTTTTAAGTGCGCAGTCGGGCGGTCCTGAGTACATCTGCCCTGTGATCAGCCATCATCCCCAGGGCAGTTTTCTCCTTGGCTGCCCTGGGCACTCGTGGTCTCTACTCACTAGACGCCAGAAGCACGCCACAGCTGTGACAACCAAAAATGTCCCAGGGGGTGGAGGGACAAAGCCGTCCCCTGGGGTGAACCCTGGTACATGGTAAACTCTGAGAAAAGTGAGAGAATGCCTGTGTGGGTCTCCTTCACTGTGGCCAGCCCAGGACTGAGTCCCCAAAACCCTTAGAAAATAGCAGCTTAGGGGCGCCTGGGTGGCTCTGTCAGTTAAGCGTCCGACTTCGGCTCAGGTCATGATCTCACAGTTCGTGGGTTCGAGCCCCGCGTCAGGCTCTGTGCTGACAGCTCAGAGCCTGGAGCCTGTTTCAGAGTCTGTATCTCCCTCTCTCTCTGCCCCTCCCCTCCTCACACTGTCTCTCTCTCTCTCCCAGAAATAAAATATTTTAAAAAATTTTAAAAAGAAAATAGCAGCTTAAAGAAAAGAGGGGCGCCTGGGTGACTCAGTCAGTTGAGTGTCCAACTTTGGCTCAGGTCATGATCTCACGGTTTGTGAATTCGAGCCCCACATTGGGCTTTGCCCTAATAGGGTGGAACCCGCTTTGGATTCTCTGTTTCCCTCTCTCTCTGCCCCATCCCCTGCTCTCTCTCAAAAATAAACATTAAAAATTAAAAAAAAAAAAAAAAGAAAATAGCAGCTTAAGGACTGAACGAATGACCAAAGAATGAATGAATGAATGAATGAATGAATGAATGAAATGACTCCTTAGCTGAGCATACCTTAGAGGCCTCCCTTGGGGACTTGAGGCCCCCAGAACTGTCCCCTCCCCCCCATGTTCTCCATCTCCCCTCCAGCCACAAGCCTGAGCCCCGCACCCAGACCCAGCCCGTCTTGCTGTTCCCAAGGCAGCCGTCTTCCTTTTGCACAGCGATGGAAACCCTGAGCCCCTCATCGCCAGCAGCTACCGGGCCTTGAGTACTTTCTGAGGGTCCCCGTAAGCAACCACCTGAATGAGCCCAGGGAACGTCACAGCAGTTCTAGGGAGGGCCCTCTACATTTTCCCGGCTAAGGTACGAGGAAACCGAGGGCCTCAGACACGTGCCCGAGGCCACAGAGCTGGGGAGCAGGCGGGACGCAGGGCCACGTGGTCTGACCTCTGACCTCCCGTGCCCATGCCTCTGAAGCCCTCTCCCCTCCTGACAAAACGGAGGCCTTCCCACAGGCCTGGCACCCTCTCTCTCTCTCTCTCTCTCTCTGGTTCTTGGGCACCAGGCCCCGCAGGCCCGGTGAGCCGCTCACCTCGTAATCCACGCCGACCCGGTTCAGGGCGATGTTGATGGTGAAGGTAGAGGCATCGTGGTGCGGCATGAGGGACGGCTGCTCGTCAGGCTTGTAACGGACAACGAAGGCCAGGTCGAACTGGGCCTGAGTCGGGGAGGGGGAGAGAACCGGCTGGACTGAGGCCGCTGAAGTGCGGGAGAGGCAGGGGTGCAGAGGACGGGTCCCTCACCCCATCTCTGGGATGGGGGATCCCAGAGGGCAGGTTTGTTTAAGGCCGTGTCCCCCGGCCCCAGCACAGGGAAGACTCTTACTAAAAATGTGCAGGGGGAGGAAAGGACAGAAGGAAGGGAATGGAGAGGAGGGGAGGGAAGGGGTGCAAAAGCCACAGGGGTGGTCAACAGGCGCTCAGTGGAGAGCTACAGGGAAACTGAGGGAGGAGTGGGTCTGTGGCCCAGGGAGCCCGGAGCTTCATCTGCGAGAGGCGAGAGGCATCGCTGAGGCGAGATTTAAGGACAGGAAGGAAGGAGTCGGAGGAGTGATGTTGCAGGGTGGAGGCGAGGCGAGCCCGCCCCTCCCCAGTCTCTTCTAGAGGCGCCCCCACCATGGGGTGGGTGGGGGGAGACTTCACTCCTGCCTGGAGACCAACTATTCAGGCCTCTCCCGCAAGCAAGCCGGGAAGCTCCCCACCCCCAGCCACTCCGCCCCTGTCCCCAACCCGGACGCTCCCCACCCCCAGCCACTCCGCCCCTGTCCCCTCCCGCTGCGTCCTGGGCACACCCACCCTGGTATAGTAGCCCGGGTAGAGCTTCTCGGTCATGGGGGCGATGTACTCCACCAGGAATTTGTGCCATTCCCGCTCAAAGTTGATCTGGTTCATGTGGATGTCGATGGTTGGCACGTTTTCGTAGCCGCCCTGGATGCGGTTGTCCTGGAAGTGACCAAGGAGAGCGAGGTAAGCGGAATTCTAAGACGGACGCCCGGGGTGCTGACTGCCTCACCCTCCCTGACCCATAAACGCCACGGGAGGAGGTTAGGGCAGAGGGCAAAGCGAGCGGGCTCTGCGGAAATCACTGTAAAGAGAGTCAGTGGACTCCGGGTTAGTCACACGGGGGACTGTCCAGGGCGTGGCTTTAAGTGAGCATCTCGAAGACAGGGGCTCTCCCGCTGGCCTCGAAGGACCACGGAAATGAATTCCGCCACAGGAGCTTGGAGTAGGACCCCGAGCCTCAGCTGAGACCCCAAGCCTGGCCGCCCCTCGACCCCAGCCTCATGAGCCCCCGAGCGGAGGACCCGGCTAAACCACGTGCGGACTTCCAGAAGCTCAGAGATCAGCGGGTGTTGTTTTATGCTGTTTAAGCTTTGCGGTGATTTGTTACACCGCAGAAAAAAACAGGTGCAGAGGGTCACACGTTGGCTCAGGTGCTAGAGTCCCAGCCCTGCCCAGGTCACAGGAGCGCAAGGGCTGGCCGGACCCCAGAAAGCAGGGGCTCTGCCAGTTCCCGGCTTCTGGAGATTATCTCACCACCGAAGCCCGTGGACGAGGCTGGGGACCAGAACCGCAGGTCACTCCGGCTGCCAGGTCAAAACTTAGCCAGGCCCTGAGGCGCACACGGGCGGGGGGCCTCAGGTGCCTTGAAACATGCTCCCTGACCTTCGGGAACCACAGAGCCTCTCAGTCCACTGTGCCACTTGCTTCTGCCGCCCGGTGAGTGCGGCACTGCTATTCCCAATCCTTCCCCAGCCCACGCTCGCTCGCTCCTCCCCCATCACACACCCAATCTGGTGAAGGAAGCTAAATCCTTCTAATAACAAACCAACATGAAGCGGAAATCTAGAATTCAAGATGAAGGCAGCTCAAAGTCACCTAGAGGTCATGGCAGCTTGGAGCCCGAGTCCAACCCATTTCTCACTCCCCCAGACCCCTAAGTGCCAGAGCGCCCACCTCCAGAGTCCCAGAGAGAGGGGCACCTGGGCAGTTCAGTAGGTTGAGCATCCAACTTCGGCTCAGGTTTGTGGGTTTGAGTCCCCAATCGGGCTCTCTGCTGCCAGCATAGAACCCACTGCAGGTCCTCTGCACCCCCCGCCCCTCCCCTGCTCATTCTCTCTCAAAATAGAGAAGTAAACTTAAAACAAAGACTCCCAGAGAGGTTGGCTAGCTTGCCAGGAGAAGAGCCCAGAGAGGAGGCATCCGCGCACCCCCCGCCCAGGCACCTGGGGCCCCCACCTTGTTGTCTCCCAGAGACCACTGGCCGTAGTGCTCCATCTCCTCCACCAGCTCGTCACAGGCGGTGTCCGTGAAGATGGGGAACCAGTAGACATCTGGGCAAGGCTGGCGAGGGGGAAAGGGAGGGAGGGGACTCAATCATAGGGGCCGGGGGTGGGGGGCACCGCTACATCTTCCCCCAACCCCCGCCAGTCCCCATGGAGCCCGCCACAGGCAGGGCCCCTCATGTGGCCCAGGCCCTTCCCCATACCCTGGTCTGTGAGCTGCTCAAGGGGGAAGGAAGCAGAGCTCAGAGCTGGCCTTTCTCAGCCAAGGTCACGGAGCTACCGGTGCAGGGCCAGGAAGAGAGTGTGTGCATGGAGAGAGGACAGCCCCGCAGGCTGCAGGGCAAGCAGAGAAGCAGTGTCTCCCTCCTGGGCCATGGTCGCAGCGGAGACCCCATTTGGGGACATCTCCCTCTTCCCCGCAGGGCCAGGAGAGCACCCCAAGGTTCCGAGGTAGGTGCTGCCAGGAGGAAGGGCCATCCCACGGCCCACGCTCTTGCCCAAGCACTGCCAGAGCACAGAAAGATGCCTCCCCCCCTCTCCTGGGCCCGCGAATTGTCTTCCTCCGCCCTCCGTTCCCCTCAGCAGACATATGGTGTGAATCCCAGAGGACCCCAGTCCTTACCGTCTCCACCAGCTTCCCCGCCAGGGCCTTGGTGTAGTTCTCGTGGATGTACTTTTCCTTCCAGTCCTGGGGTAGGGGGAGGGGAGGCGGTTGGGGTCCTCTGGCCTGGCCAGGGACAGCTGGGGCTCCTCCTTTGCCCAACTCCATGGGATGCTCCAAGATGGGGTTCACCCCCCCGCCGCCCAGGCCCCCTGCAATGTGGGTGAATGTATGCACGCCTGGGGAAGGGGGTACGGACCATGCCCACTGGGTGCAGGTGCATTGTTTGGGCACACAGGGTGCCCCCAGAAGCTGGTGTCTTCATGTGTACCTACGTGCGTGTGCATGTGTGTGCAGGTCTGCGTGCAGGTATGTGCACATGCCCACGTCAGCCATAAGCTCATGGTGTCTAGGAACACCGTAACCACTTTCTCCTCCTCTGAGCTTCGCAACACCCTCAGAAGTGAGTGAGGCTGGGATTGCATGCCCATCTTAGAGCTAAGATAATTGAGGCCCCAGAGGTTGAGAGGCTCGACTAAATCACAGCCGATGGTCTCTCCTCCACTAGATGGCGCTGCCTCTCCAGAGCCCTCCTCTCCCCGCCTAAACCCCGCCCAACCCGGTCCCTGGGATGGAGGAAGGTAGGTGGCAGGGAGCCCTCAGAGCCCCAGCCCTTCTCAGGCTGAGCAGGAGTCCCCTTACACCACTGGCTCTCTGGGCCACCTTCTCCCTCCCCTGCCCATCCACCCAGGGCCTCACCTCGGGGTTGCTGAACACCTCCCAGAGGTCATTGTGGAGGTGGCTGGTCTGGTAGCTGTCCAGGGAGAGCAGGTGGCCGAAGGTGTGTCGGTTGGTCAGGAACATGAACACGTCCTGGGGAGAACAGGCCGGATGGAAGAGGAGCCCCCTCCCCCACCCAGTCCCAGGAGAGGCATGGCTGCAGCCTCCTCCGCCCATCAAGTGGGACAGCAAGGAACCTGGTGCAAGTGCAGACACCCCATCTCATCTGCCCAGCACCCAGCCAGGCCTGACATGGGATACGATCCAGGAGGGCTTCCTGGAGGACTGAATGGGAATCAAAGAACGAATGTTGATGGCGCAGAAGAAAAGAATGGCGTCTGATCCTGAAGTTCGGGGCATGGGGAAGACACCACTACGCTGCCACATTTAAAAGAAGAATGACAGCGGGGGTGCCTGGGTGGCTCAGTCAGCTGAGCATCCGACTTTGGTTCAGGTCATGATCTCACGGTTTGTGAGTTCGAGCCCCACATCCGGCTCTATGCTGACAGCTTGGAGCCTGTGGCCTGCTTCGAATTCTGTGTCTTCCGCTCTCTCTGCCCCTCCCCTGCTTGCACTCTGTCTCTCTCTCTCAGAAATAAATAGCCATTAAAAAAATTTTTTTTAAATAGAAAATAAAAAAAGAACCACAGTGGGGGCGCCTGGGGGGCTCAGTAGGCTGAGCATTCAACTTCAGCTCAGGTCATGAACTTATGGTTTGTGAGTTCAAGCCCCCCATCAGGCTGGCTGCTGTCAGCCTATCTGCACAGCGGCCACTTTGGATCCTCTGTCCCCTTCTCTCTGCCCTTCCCCCGCTCACTCTCTCTCAAAAAAAATACATATTTTTTAAAAATCAAAGAATAACCACAAAAACGTATTGGGGGGGCACAGGGAGAGGGTAAGGGTGTTCCTTGGGCACATTACTTGCAGTACATTTAGGTGGAAAGTTTAGGATTTTTTGGTTCTGTTGGGATGTCAACAAAACAGACAAGGTGAAAACCGGGTCCACTAAAATGATCCCCACAGACCCTAAGGACCATCCCTCCTGCCTGGTGCCCCAAGTGCCCCCCCCCCAGGCCCTGGCATCTCAGAAGCTTCAGGCCTAAGGGGACAAGATCCAGGCCCGCCTTCTCCATCAACGAGGCCCCCGACTGCCCAGCCGAGGCCAACCTGCTGCCGGATGTTGGCACTGAAGGCCATGTCGGGGTCCAGCCTGCTGTGGTGGAACAGGTCTGTCTGCTGCAGCTCAGCCCGCAGGGCACTGCCCTTGATCAGGTAGATGTTGGAGATGTAGGGCACATTCCAGACGCCACTAGGGTGAGAGAGGAAGACAGAGGGGGCTGCAGGCTGGTCACACGCTAGGGGTTAGGGCCTCGGGGGAGCCGGCAGTCACAGGCCGGGAGGGCACAAGAGTGCGGATCTGAGTCCCCTACCCCGGGCACGTGGGCTCAGGATAATTGTCGGGAGGTCTGTCCCTGTGTCTGACCGCAGTCTTCCTTGCTTTGGGCTTTGCAGGAATCCGAGGGCAACATGACGTGAATAGTGGGGGAAGACAGAGGAGGTCACTCCCACCCCGCAGTTACTCACACACGCCGCCCCTGCACGATGTCCACATAGTCCTCCGAGCGGGCGTAGTAGCCATCTGCGCTCAGGGCCCCCCAGAAGTTTGACCACAGCCTCCCGTGGCGGGTCATCAACGGGGCGATGACGTTCCTGAGGAAGGGAGCACCTCAGTGGGAGTCCCTCTGTCCACTGGGAGTTTGGGGGCAGATCTGCACCCTTAGGTGCAGGGCGGGAGAGGAGGTGCGCCTTGGGGCCTAGAGGGGAGGGGGTTGGCCCCTCTGGCCGGTTCTGCCTCCAACAGGGAGGCGGGGAGTAGAAGGCGGGAGGGGCGGCTTGCAGCAGGGAGGAGGGAGCATCCAAGACAAGGCTCCCAGGCTGGGGCAGGTCCAGGGTGGGAGGTGAGGCCAGGGTGAAGGCGGAGAAGAGAGGCATGGCGGGGGGGGGGGGGGGGGGCTGGGCTCGGAGGGCCCACCCACAGCATACTTGTTCTGCTCGATCAGCAGGCGCAGGGTTTTCGGCTCAGTCAGGGCCACGTCAGCATCCACGCTGAAGTAGTAGGTGCAGGAACGGTCCTGCCGGCAGAGATCCCTGCAGGCAGGGTCCCGGGGTCAGCAGAGGGGCCCCAGGGTCCCAGAGCGGCCCTGCGGCCTTCCTCTCCAGGCCTGCCCCCATCCGGGACCACAGGGAACCGGCCAAAGGTTTTTAGAGGGATCAGGCCAGCCCTGGTGCAGGTTGGGACCGGCAGCCTTGACCCTGAGACCCAAACCCTGGGCTGTTAGGCTCTCAAGAGGAATGCGGGGAGCTCAGCGACTGCTATCAAGCGCCCCGAAAACCCTCGTCCTGGGGAGAACACGGCCCACAGACAGTTCGTACACCGCCCAGGGCTAGGGGGTAAATTGGTTCTGCCCCTTCTGAGGTGCAGTTTGGTCACCTGTACCAAAAGCCTTACAAATTTATGCTCTTTTTGTTAATCTGGCCCAGGGCTCAGCAAAGCAGGCCCATGCTCCCAATCCAGCCCACTGCCTGGTATCATTATAGGTCATGAGCTAGGAACGCCTTTACATTTTTAAATGGTTGGTGGGGGGGGAATCCAAACACATCACGTAAAAATCATATGAGAGGTGCCTGGGTGGCTCAGGTCATGATCTCGTGGTTCATGAGTTCGAGGCCCATGTAGGGCTCTGCGCTGACAACTTGGAGCCTGGAGCCTGCTTCGGATTCTGTGTCTGCCTCTCTCTCTGCCCTCCCCACTCACGTTCTGTCTCTATCAAAAATAAATAAACATTAAAAAAATTATTTATGGGGCGCCTAGGTGGCTCAATTGGTTGAGCGTCCGACTTTGGCTCAGGTCATGATCTCGTGGTCCATGGGTTCGAGCCCCGCATCGGGCTCTGTGCTGACATCTCAGAGCCTGGAACCTGTTTCGGATTCTGTGTCTCCCTCTCTCTCTGCCCCTCCCCAGCTCGTGCTCTCTCTCTGTCTCAAAAATAAATAAACGTTAAAAAAAATTAAAAGATTAAAAAAAATTTGTTTATTTAAAAATTTTTTTTAATTTATTTCTGAAAGAGAGAGAGAGACACAGCGTGAGCAGGGGAGGGTCAGAGAGAGAGGGAGACACAGAATCCGAAACAGGCTCCAGGCTCTGAGCTGTCAGCACAGAGCCCAACGTGGGGCTCAAATCCACGAACCGTGAGATCATGACCTGAGCCAAAGTCGGACGCTCAACCGACGGAGCCACCCAGGCGCCCCTAAAAAATTTTTTTTAAATCGTATGAAATTCAAATTTCAGTGTTTGGAAGTAAAATTCTGTGGGAGCACTGCCGCGCCCACTTGTGCTACAACCCTCAGGGTTGAGAGGCGTGGCAGAAGAACTTTCCTGGAGGTTCGCCAGCCTCGGATCTGGACTAATTCTTCCACAGTCAACAGGGATTACTTGTTTGTTTTAATAATAAAGGCAAAATCAGAGATCGGCTCTCACATTGCCCATGTTTATCTACTTCTGGCTTTCTAGTTCTTCCCCTTTCTCTGATTTGCTTCCTGTACCCAAATGACACTGCTCAACCCCACCCAGGAGCCCCCAAGCTGGCAGGGCAGTGACTAGTTCCCCATTTGACAGATGGGAACACTGAGGTCCAGAGAGGGGCAGGAACTCGCTGGAGACCACACACAGCCTTCTGAACTGCTCTGTCTCCTGGCCTGATGCCCCCGACACCACGGCCCCCCCACCCACTACCATCAGCAGAGATAACCGTGGGGCCCCGGCTCCCAACTCACGCGCCCATGTTCCTGGCATCAGCGTTGGCCATCCGAACCTCGGGGCCCACCAGCTTCACAGACTGGTACTCGCTGCCGTGCTCTGCCAGGAACTCCTCCACCTGAGCCTTGTGGTGTTGCTCCTGGGGGTAGGGGATGGGAGGGTGAGATGAGCACAGTGGTTCCACCCCAGGACCGCAGCAGCCCGGCTCCCGCAGGCCACTCCCCTTCACTCCTGGCGCGTTCTCAGCCACTGGCTTTCCGATCTCCAGACCCCTGTCCATGCCAGCCTTTCTGCCCTGAGTGCCCTTTCCCAGCCATCCCTGACCATCCTCCCCTGATCAGGCCAGGCCCACCAGCCTCGTAAGAGCCTTTATCACTAAGACAGCATCCCGGACCCCACAGGCCCCATATCCAGAGTCATTTATTCTGCTCGTCTGGAGCGTGGCCCATGGATCTGCTTCGTCACAAAATGCTCTGGGTGATCCTTGGACTGCGATTGGAAAAACAACAGTCCGTTCCCCAGGCCCCTTGCGGGAGGAAGCGGACAAATCAGGATTTTCAGAATCAAACCCAGGATTTAGAGTGAAGCCCGGCTCTGCTACAATTAGTTTTGTGACCTTGGACAAGCCACGTCACCTGCCTCAGCTTCCGTTCCCTCCCTTGTAAAACGGGAGGGCGGCTATGCCTCGGTCACAGGGTCATGGTAAGGAGCCAACAAGTCAGACCGGGCTCACAGAAGGCCCTTAGAGACTGCCTGTGACCGTTCTCTTCTCCTGCACAAAACATGGGAATTCATGTCTCCAGGGAAACGGGGCGACTCCCAAGGGCACGGCCGACCCCTTCTCCTGTTTCCATGTGGCACAGTTGAACTAATGTCTGCGACACGGGCAGAGCTGGGCCGAGCGTGGGGCCGCGGGGCCCTGGGGTGCTGACTGTCGGGGCTGAAAGGTCTCAGAAAGGGGTGCCGCCAGATGAGAGGACGTTAAGGAAGACAAGGAGCCTTGAGAACAGAGAGACTGGAGAGCGTACCTGGCGTCTGGGTTAGGGAAATGAGGTGGGACTTTATCCAGCTGGGAAGGAGAGGGGAGGGACAGAGCGAGGAATCCCGAACTCCCCACCGAGCAGCAGGCCTCAGGGCCCTCCCTGATTCCCCAGGTGGTACGCAGGGAAGGAAAACCAATTTGTCACCGAATCTAATCAGGAGCAGGGGTAAGGGTAACCTTACACTGTCACGTGCCTCCCCCCACCTCCTGCGTGCTTCACATTCCCACTTATTTAACCTTTGCAGCAATCCCACGAGGTGGGCACTATTCTAGCCCTATTTAATAGATGAGAAAGCTGAAGCACAGAGAGGTAGAGCAATGTACCCAAGGTCACACAGCCAATACAAGGAGCGGTGCCGGGATTCAAACCTGGCCATTCAGACTCAAGTCAAGCCAGTGATCCTGGGGACAGAGCCCACGGTCCACTTCCATGTGGCCCAGATTAACAATGCTTCAGTTAGTTCCTGAGGTGTCTCAGGCCACCCCGTGAGGCAGGGCTTTTACCCAAGCCACACGGCGACCCCACCAAGTGCCTGCTACTCACGTGGTTGTGAATGAAAAGCCGCATCTGTTTCCGGGGGTAGTGGAGGCGGAGGAGCCGCTGGAAGAACAGGGTTAGGAACGGCGTGGGCTGTTCGATGAACACGCCGACCAGGACTGTGGGGAGAGCTTCGTCCTGCACGGGGAGGGGGCGGCGTGAGGGACCCGAGCCAGAGGCAGAGGTGTGCAGACTTAGCAGGAAAGGGGCCTGGGCCAGGGAGCGCCAAGCAGGATGTACAGACAGGCAGAGGCAGGGACTGGCAGGGAAGCAGAAGCGAGGGGAGGAGGGGTCCCTGCTGGGCCGGTCACGTGAGCCTAGACTTGGAGCCAGGACCAGCTGATGGCTTGCTGTCAGACAGCCTGGCCAGCATGGGTTTGATGTGAGCCGTAAACAGGAAGTAAGGGGGCGCCTGGGTGGCTCAGTCGGTTAAGCATCCGACTTCGGCTCAGGTCATGATCTCACAGTTCGTGGGTTTGAGCCCCGTGGCGGGCTCTGTGCTGACAGCTCGAAGCCTGGAGCCTGCTTCAGATTCTGTGTCTCCCTCTCTCTCTACCCCTCCTCCACTCATGCTCTGTCTCTCTCTCTCTCAAAAATAAATAAATATTTTAAAAAATCTTTTTCAAAGTGAGCCATAAACAAGGAGTAAGGGGGACCCTGGGGGGCTCAGTGGGTTAAGCGTCTGACTCTTGGCTTCGGCTCAGGTCATGATCTCACGGTTCGTGAGTTTGAGCCCCGAGTTAGGCTCTGTGCTAGTGACGCCTGCCCATCCCCTGCTTGAATGTGCACACGTGCGCGCTCTCTCTCTCTCTCTCTCTCTCTCTCTCTCTCCCTCTCTCAATGTAAGTAGATAAACATTTAGGTGGGTAGATGGGGTTAAATGGGTGATGGGCATTAAGGGGGACACTTTCTGGGATGAGCACTGGGTGTCATATGTAAGAAATGAATCACTGGGTTCTCCTCCTGAAGCCAAGACTATGTCTATGTTAACTAACTTGAAATTAAGTTTAAAAATATGTAGATAAACATCTAAAAACAAAACAAAACAGGGGTGCCCGGGTGACTCAGTCAGTTAAGCGTCCAACTCTCACTTTCCAGCTCGGGTCATGATCTCAGGGTTCACTGTCAGCACAGAGCCTGACTGGGATTCTCTCTCCCTCAGTCTCTGTCCCTCCCCCGCTCATGCTTTTCCTTTCTCTTTTTCTCTCTCTCAAAATAAATAAATAAACTTAAAAAACAAAAAAATGAGGAACACGGTTCATGAGAGGGGAGGCAGCTATAGGAGAGGAATCAGGCTGAAGGAACCAGAATTTGGCACGGCTGGAAGGGGTGTGCATGAATAGGAACCACAGGTAATCTCAGAAGGCTTCCGAGAGGAGGTGCGTGGGTGAGGAAGAAGATGGAACCCCAGACAGGAAGGTGATCCCTTCACCTCCCACCAGAGACAAGAGTCTCTTCCAGAATCACTCCTCCTCCGCATCCGCGGGGATGGAGGGCCCCACGTCTGGCAGCCTTACCCCGATGCCCTTGAGGCTGCGCAGGCCCTCATCACACACAGCGCAGCCCGTCTCGAAGGTCCAGAAGCGCGGGATGTAGTTGCCCAGGTAGTTCAGCTGCAGCTGTAGGGAGACGTGGGGTCAGAGATGAGGGGAACGGCCGGCCCCGCCCACCTGTAACCACTGAGTCACATCTCCCTCAGCCCCTGGTGTCCCCGCATCCTGGCCCTCTAAGGGGGTAGGAATGTGGCCTTATTTGGGGCAGGTTTGGGAGAGAATGTTCTGGCATCCTGAAGATCCCCAAAGCTGCTCTGGGGGCCCAGGGGGGACTGGCAGTCTGATACGCTTTCATCCCTGGATCTTCCAGAAGCTTGTAAAATGCAGACCGCTGCCCGCCCCCCACCCCAGAGGGTCCAACCGAGCAGCTCTGGGGTGGGGGCAGGAAACCTGCTTTAACGCCCTCCCCCTTCTCTCTGCCATGGTGGGGGGAGTGGAGAGGGTCAGGGACCAGACGTGAAGAAGCATGCTGCGAGCCAGGGCTGGCCCCAGGACCCGTGAGGTCAGGCCCGCACCCCACCTGCTTCTGAGGTCCAGAAGCGCAGGGACCAGTCTGTCCTGCTCACAGGACTACGTAGGCCTTATGTCCTTCCTAAATGTTTGCTGAATGAAGAAACGAGTCTGCCCTGGGGAGATGGGGTATAGATGACTCCGGGCAGCCCAGCGGAGGCCTGGATGGGGTCAGCGACCTCCCTTCTGTCCTGTGGCTCAGCAGGGATGAACATTCCCAGCCACCACAGCAAGGAAACAAGGCACCACGCTGAACTCAGATGTGAGGACAGAGGCAGCCAGGTGGCAGCGGGGCCTGGGGGCAGGGGTGGCCCTGACCCCAAGGAGAAGCCGTGGGGTCACAGGGAAAGCAGACTCGAGCCCCAGGCCCTGCTCTCACGCTCCCCAGGGGCTGGGGGCCTCTCCCTACCTTGGTGGGCCCATTGCCATGAATCAGGACTGGAAGGGTGTCATAGGCAAGGTTCCTTGCTCTCACGTGGCCCATTTCAAACTTGAGCACCACCTCATCTGGGGGTCAGAAAGCACAGAGACATCCAGTGTCAGGCCCAGAGGCCAAGTTCAAGTCCTAGCTCCCGCTCGGGGTGTGCTCTGGGCTATTAACATCACTTCCTCGAGCCTCAAGTTTCCTCGTCTGTGAAATGGTGATAAAAGTGCAAGGGCTCCGTGTTGGGCAAGCACTCAGCGCCACGCCTGGCACATGTGAGCACAGAATCCACCGCTACCCCCAGTATTTATCGTGATTACTTATTCGAGCCGGAAGCAGGAGACGGGAGAAAGAGAAGACATGAAACATCGCAGCTCCAGAAAAAGCTCAGAGAAGCCCCGGGGACAGAGCGTGGGGCACCTGCCCCGACAGACATGCAGAGCGGCACTGAGAACGTGCCAGCGGGTGGAAGGTCCTGGTGGGGTGGGGACAGGTCCTGTCCCGGCGCAGAGAGACTCCCTTGGGCAGGATCCTAACAGATCCTCTGACCCTGTTAGACAGCAGGAGGCAGCGGCCTGCCCAACAGTTACAAATGCAGAGGGGTCCTTGGTCAGAGGCCTGGGAAGTCCCTGGGGACGGAGGTCCCTCAGTGTGGGCGGCCATGTGAGGGGCCCCTCTGCGCAAGTTCCCGGTCCCCTCAAGAGATGCTCAGGACCCAGCTTCTTAGTCTAGGTCTGTGCGCTCCCAGAAGCCCCAGACAAAAGAGTGCGGATGTTTCTGCACCTTCTCGGGAAAGGACTCCTAGTGTTCATTAGATTCTCGAAAAATAAGATTCCGTTTACCCCATAAAATCCCCAAGCAGCTATTGGGTCCAACTACTCTTTTTTTAAAGATGGGAAAACTGAGGTCTAAGGGACGTGTGTGTGTGTGTGTGTGTGTGTGTATGTGTGTGTGTGTGTGTGTGTGTGTGACAGAGAGAGAGAGACAGAGAGAAAGAAAGAGAGACAGACAGACTTGCCCGAGGTCACTCGGGAAGATACTGGCAAAGGAATATTATCACCAGCCATGGATTTAGGGCCAGGCCAAGAGTGTTTTTCTGGTTTTAAGGACCAGGCGGCCTCTCTGCTTCCCAAGCCACCCATCAGCCCCCTGTGCCAGCCACGTGGGAGGGGGGAGAGCAGGGAAGGAGAGGAAGCAGGCGTGCGTCTAAGAACCAGGGGTGCAGGGCAGGGCCAGGAACGTGCTGTGTGCACGGCCCAGCCACTCCCAGGCTGAACGTCTGCCTCCTCCCCTGGAGTCCCGCAGGCTCTTGGACTGACATCTTGGCCCTCCTTTCTACACCCCCAGAGAAACACACCTCTGCCTTGGGGCTTCCAGGTGGCCTCTGCGGACCTGGGGACGGAGAAACCACCCTGTTCTCCTCCTTGGGCTCAGGCCCGGCCTGGAATCCTCATCTCCTTATTAATGACTTTCTTAGGATCCCCCTCCCCATGGGGGCCGCTCACCCAAGGCTCCATCCAGATTCTGGAAGATACGGCAGCGGTGGTCCAGGGTGATGTTGATCCGCTCCTGTAGGAAAGAGAACACCGGGCTGCAGCAGGGACAGGCCCTGGTGGAGGATGGGGCTCCATCACGCCCCTGGGGGCAGGGGGGGGAGCCTGCCTTCCTGCTTCTGCCCCTTCCTCCCCCACATACTGGTTCAAGCACAATAATCATGATAACGACAAATGTTTTTCACTTTACTGTCAATCACTGTTCTAAATACTATGTAAACATCAATTAATTTAATCCACACAACGTCCTTATGGGAAACTACCACCGTTACCCCATTTTACAAATTTAAAAAACAGGGCATAGAGAGGTTGGATAACTTGCCTAAAGTCACACAGCTAATAATTGGCTAAGCTGGCATTTGAACCCCAGAAGCCTGGCCCTGAGGTCCCTGTTCACTGCACAGTGCTGCCCCTTCGGGATTCAGCTGTGTCTCATGGAGCCCTAGGCCAGGCCAACGAAGGCAGGTGGCAGGCTAGGCTCAGCTCTCGTTCCACAGAGAGGGATGGGGACGGCCATGGAGTCCACTTTTATGTTTTAGACCCTGGGTTTCTGCAAGTGATGTCACCGGAGGCAAATGTGAAGGAAGAGGAAAGACTGAGTTAAAAAGATCAAGTTCAGGGGCGCCTGGGTGGTTCAGTCGGTTAAGCGGCCGACTTGGGCTCAGGTCACGATCTCACGGTTCGTGGGTTCGAGCCCCGTGTCGGGCTCTGTGCTGACAGCCAGCTCAGAGCCTGGAGACTGCTTCAGATTCTGTGTCTCCCTCTCTCTTTGACCCTCCCTTGTTCACACTGTCTCTCTCTCTCTCTCTCTTAGAAATAAATAAAAAACACTAAAAAAAAAAAAAAAAGATCAAGTTCATGTTTCTCCTGCACAAGTCTAGGTGTTTCATTTCATTAGTTCATGGATAATAAAAACTGAGGCCCAGAGAGGGGAAGTGACTTACCCTGGGTCACACAGCACTGCATGGGTGGACGTTATGGGGACTAGCAGAGTAGAATCCAGGAATCCTGACCCCACACCCACCCAAGGACTCTCTGAGTTTCCTGCCTGCCCAGAGCACACTGGCTGGTTTGGGGTGACACTGGTCCAGATCTGCCACCTTCAGTCCCCTCAGTGCCCCTGTCTCCCTTAAGACAGGCTTGGAGGTCATGGCACAGGTCCAGCCAAGACCTCTTCAGCCCCCAGAAATCCTCCCCCGCCCAGAAAGGGCGGGGCAAGAGCAGCTCAGCCTGTCCATTCCACTCAGTACCATCACCACTGAAAAGGAGATCGTAAACTCCTGTCTCCCGAACTTGAGTGACCGTGAGGGTGAAGACCCCACTGTCTTGTTCCCAGCCACACCCCTGCCCTGCACCCGACAGTACCTCACATACAACAGGCGCTCAATAAATAGCCACTGAATACCTTAGCGAATCCGCAAATGGATAAATGGGGGCCTCAATGCCCAACCCACAGAGTCAGGGGCACTGCTCTCACTGCAGCATCAAGATCCAGCGTCAAGATCCCCTCGCCCTGCCCCTGTTCCTCAGCCCCACCCGCTGCCCCTTACCCTCTTCTCTGGGTCCAAGAAGATCTTGGTGTAAAAGAGCTGGTCGCTGTCACTGTCCTGGCCCTCCCACTCAGCCACCAGTTTGCTGAGGCTGGGGGCATAACCGATGAAGCCTGTGGTTGGTGGGGGACACACAGAGACAGACCGTGAGCTTCTGGCCTCTAAGCCAGGAGCCTCTTCCCAGCCTCCGCTTTCATTCTTTCCACTCCTTTACCTCCTCTTAGAAGTCCTCCTGGATTGAAGGGAGGTAGTCTATAGGCTGAAAGCAACCTGCTAGCTAATGCCACTTGGTAACAAGTTCCCACTAAGCTCACAGGGAAAGATCAATGGTATCTACTAACTGCCACCAAATCAGGTACTGGGCACCACGTAGGTGGTGAATGAATGCATCAGACCAGGAGTCCCTGGAGAGCAGAGCTGGTGGGACATAGACTTGGAGCCCCTCTTCTACAGTTATCTGGACAACTTGGCCCAGAGAAGGGCAGAGGCTGGGCCAAGGTCACACAGCACATGGGGGCTTAGAGGGAAAAGCCCACACAGCCCTTGGCCACAGTGCAGACGGGCACGGAGAGAAGAGGAAAGGGAGAAGGGGCCAGCCATGGAGCACCCCCCGCCCCCCCGCCAGGGAACAGCCCCAGCCTTGGGCCAGGCCTAGGCCTTCTAGACTGTGCTAACTCTCTCAGCCAATGGGGAGAAGTGGCTGCCGGAGACGGACCCCCTTCCACAGGCTGGACAGAGAAATCCAGAGTAAAACACAGATTTTACTCTCCATGCAGTAAGAGGCCATTGAGTCATGCGGACTAGAAGGGGTGAGGGCTGAGGCCAGCAGAGCAGGCAGGAGGCTACTGCAAACGGCCAGGAGCCAAGTGGGGTGGTTAGCAGTGGGGGTGGACACGAAGGTAGAGTCGAGATCCTTCAAAGCGGGAGTGGCGTGACCAGCCCGCTGACTGGGAGGTGGGGGGCGGAGGGGGGACTTTTGGGGGTGACTCTGGTCTTGACCTGTGCAGATGGGTGGCTGTTCACAAGATGAGGAAGACTGCAGGGGCGAGTATGTCCCGACGGCAGGGGATGGAACCGTCTGCAACCCGCCCAGCCCCACCACACCCTCCTCACCCAGACCCCTCACCTCCAGAGCCCAGGAACCTCTTGCCGTCGGACACCGCCGGGTACTTGGCCTCCAGCCTGCGGTCAGGGTAGATAAGCTCCTCGGCTGAGAACACCACCTGGCTCCTGGCCTGCCGGAACTTCTTCAGGAGCTCCCGAGGCCCCGATGCAAACACCACGTCGTAGCTGCGGCCAGTGCCAGGGGAAGCGGAGCAGGGCAGAGGTGAGGAGGGGCTCACGAGGGCACCTTCTCCCATGCCACCCCTGGGCCATGCCAGGGGAAACGGCTCTGCCCCGTTGTCTCTGGCCCACCCCGCCCTGGGCAGAGATGGTCCCCACCTCATGCTCAAAGCATGGCCCACCTCACCTGGGCAGGGCCCCTTGCCCATCTCACCACCAGTGGGAATGGTCTTTTCTGGGCTCACCGGCCCCCTCAAACTGTAAGCAACCTTAGCTAGAGCGATTCCCCGCTCATCCCTGATAATCCTGCAAGGGCTCCATTCTGGAATATTCTAGAATATTCTTTCTGCTGAGGGGTCCTGCACAGGAAGCCCCCAGCCACCTACCTGTCTGTGAAGAGAATGACCAGGTTCTCCTTGTCTGCGTGCTTGTCCAGAGCTTTCTTCAGCAGCCGGACCTTCAGCCCTCCGCCCGTCGATGTCCCCTTCTCCCCATCCCAGTCCTCCCCCAGGCCCAGCGCCTGCAGAGAAAGGCCCCTTAATGTGGGGTTTTGGTACAGAACTATCTTGCCGGCCCAAATTCCACCCCTGCCTGGACAGTGAACATCTTTGTCTCTGTCTGTCCAGCACCTCTTCCCTCACCTGTGGGGAAACCATTCTACACTGCGTGTGAGGCTGACCGGGCTCTGGGGGTGGGTGTCATGGGACCACATTTGGCCAGTCAGTGTCCCACCCATCCTTCTCCCAGCCATGGGTTTGAGCATGTGACCTAAGCATAGCCTGTCAGCGTCGTCCCTGGGACTGTTCTGTCCAAACTACGGAGAGGCTGTCTAGTTCTGTCGAGGTTGGGAAGCTGGGGCATGTGGTCATGCTGTGACTAGTGGTCATCTTGGCACCATGTAGAGAGAGCATGTTTGCAAAGGAAGACCACCCGAGCCTAGAGACAGAAAGACAAAGCCCTCACCATGCAGCTTGAACCCCTAGATCCAGCTATGCCTGAAGCAACCCTCTGCTTCAACCTGCATTCACGTGAGAGAAACCATTTTCTTTCTGGCTTAATGCCACTGGATTGCAAGCTGTGTAGGCAATGCCATGGTCTGTCTGGTCATCATTCCAGCCCCAGTGCCTACCACTTTGCCTGGCAGGAGGCACTCAGCACACTCAGCTAAATGGAGGAACGTCTGCCTGCAGGGCTCTGCCCCCACACTGCACACAGAAGACACCAAGTAGACTGGGCATTGGCCTCTGTTGCCTTAGAGCGGTGTTTACACAGGTAAGATCTCCAGACTATGTCCATTCCCAAATCCCCTGGTGGGTAAAAATGCTAGTTCCCAGGCCCTGCCTTCTAAGCCAGCCACACCCACTCCCCCCCAGCATGAGCACGGCCATGGAGCCCAGGTGCCTCAGTTTCCCCACGTTCCCATCTCCGGCACCTCACCGACTCTCTTGCTTTTCCTAACTCCTCCTCATCTTTTGGGCTTCCAGAAGCTTTCCCTGTGACCCCAATCAGTTTAAGAAGGGCAAAAATCCCAGCTCCTGGGCTCTCCCGCCACCCCGTGGCTGACCCAGCCCCTTCCCCCACCGGGAGTCTCTTACCTGGATCTTGTAGTTGAAGAACTGGCCTGAACGCTTAAAGCGTCGGAACCCCTCGGTCTCCTTCGTGGCCACCGTGAGGACTAACAGGTTGTCTACGGACAGAGGAGGGCGCGGGGAATGGGAATGGGGGATGAGAGGTGACAGACAGGAGCAGGCCACTGTTCCCAGATGTGTCAAATCCCGGCAGGATGTGTCCTCGCGTCCACCCATGACAGACAAGGGCCCAGGGCCCGGGTGGGAAGGACGTGCCGAAGGTCACTCAGCTGGTTAATGACAGACTGGGGACAGAACCTGGGTCTCCCGGACTCTCTGCCAGGGTTCTGTCCCCCCTGGGAACTGAATGGCACGACAGGAAGCGTCCAGAACAGAGATGTCTGCCCCTTGCGTTGTGGGGCTGGGTCTCTCTGGATTTAGGGTGCTGTGGCCTCACACAGGCGTGGAGGGAAGGGGTTCGCCCTGAACGCCAAACACCAAAGAGACCTCTCTAGCCACTGCTGGACACGGGCCCAGGGATGGCCACCGCTCTCCATGCCTGCACCCAGGGCACTCACTGCTAATCCGTGCCAACAGCCTTTCTGCCAACAGGTGAGAATCTATGAGTTGACCCCGAGTGGAAATGGACTTGAAATCCTTAGCTTTGGCCAGAACAGCTGTACTGCCTTAACAAGAGACTTCTCTCAGGCTCTGTAGCGTGGCTTCATCTCTGCAATTGGACCTGCTGAGGGGTGCCTGGGTGGCTCAGTGTCTGACTTAGGCTCAGGTCATGATCTCGTGGTCCGTGAGTTCAAGCCCCACGTCAGACTCGGTGCTGACAGCTTGGAGCCTGGAGCCTGCTTTGGACTCTGTGTCTCCCTCTCTCTCTCTCTGCCCCTCCCTGGCTTCTGCTCTCTCTCTCTCTCAAAAATAAATAAACATTAAAAAAAAAAAAGCCACCCAACTGATTCTGATTGCAGTCAGAGTTAATAACTGACTTAAGAAAATCATGATTCAGGGCCGCCTGGGTGGCTCAGTCAGTTAAGCGTCTGACTTCAGCTCAGAGCATGATCTCACGGTTCATGGGTTCGAGTCCTGCGTCGGGTTCTGTACTGACAGCTCAGAGCCTGGAGCCTGTTTTGGATTCTGTGTCTCCCTCTCTCTCTGCCCCTCCCCCACTCGTGCTCTGTATCTCTCTGTCTCAAAAAAAAAATCATGACTCATTAAAGAAAAAAAAAGAACCTGCTGGAAACAACTCCCCAGGGAGTATCTCTGGGAGCCCTGGGGAAGCCCCTTCCGGATCACAGTATAGTAGGGGCACCTGGCTGGCTCAGTCAGTAGAGCATGCGACTCTTGATCCTGAGGTTATGAGTTCGAGCCCCACGGAGGGCATAGAGATTACTTAAAAAAACAAAACAAACAAAAACAGTACAGTAGGCATCCTTTCATCCACAGGAAATGCATTCCAAAACTCCCAGTGGATAGTACCATTCCACAAACAGTACCAGACCCTATATACACTATGTTTTTTCCTGTGCGTACATAACTATGATAAAGTTTAATTATAAATGAGGCACAGAAAGGAATTCACAGCAGTGAATAAAACGGAACAATTAAAACAATATACTGTAATAAACATCCCATGGATGTGGCCTCTCTCTCAGAACATCTTACTGCACTGAACTCACCGTTCTTGTGATGAGGTAAGATATAAATGCCTACATGATGAGACAGAGGGAGCAGAATGACACAGCACTGTGACAGAGTTAGGCGGTGGGGGGGAGGGGGGGATTATGTGCTTCCGGAACGTGGTTGACCGTGAGTAACTGAGACCTCAGGTAAGGGGAGGCTCCTGTTACCTATTTCGGGGAATGCCAGATGGATTCAACGAGATCAGGCCTGTAAAACCCTTGCTGGATGCTGGCACAGGCTAAGAGCTATGACTGGTGCTGATCGGTGAGAGGCAAACACCCTGCTTTGGCATTCAAGGCCCTCCCTGATCGGCCCAGTGATGTACTCCTTCCCTCAGTTGAGTGGGCTCTCCCCCAGCCAGGGGTCTCACCTTGCTGAGCTCCTCCCCTCCTGTCCCAGCTCCCTCTCTCTCTCTCCCCTTTCTCTAATCTTCCTGCAGGTCCCAGGGCCAGACCCCTTCCCTGCCACCACCTCTATGAAGACTTCTCAGATTTCTCCTGACCTCTCTTCTGCAGTTAGAGACAGGATCCCCCCCTCACCCACCACCACCTTTGTAGCACTCACTATCGTTTCATGGAGTCCAGGACGTAATGCTTTTCTGGCTGAACTGGCCCAAGAGGCCGGGCTGACACAGGCAAGTAAGGCCTTCCCATACACCCCCGCCCCCTAAATGCAAGAGAAGCCTGGGCTGAAAGAACAAAGGCATCTCGCTCGGGCAGAGCTGGCTGAGCTGGGCAGGCTGCTGGCCCCAGAGCAGGGAGCAGCTCAGAAGGCTTTGGCAGGAAGCCACTGGAAGTGGGCCCAGGGACCTGGGGAGGAAGGGATAGGTTCACTAGGCAGGTATGGAAAGGGGAGGCCTCACCACCTGACCCTGGGAGGCAGGAAAGAGGGGTGCTGCTCACACTTTTGAGGAAATTGAGGAAAGGTTCCCCCAATTCTTGCCAGGATGGTTAAGTCTCCTTACTCAGGGGGGAAGAGAGTCGCTGGCTCTGAGGCCCTCCTGTCCTTGGCAGGGAAGGCTGGGGACAGAGAGTGTCACATTTCACAGATGGAAAAAGCCTGTGTGTGTGTGTGTGTGTGTGTGTGTGTGTGTGTGTGTGTGTAAGGTGCTGGATCAGGGCTCCTGAAGTCAGGCTGTGGCGGGAGGGCGCTGGGGGGGCAGGCATCTCGAGGCTCCTTTCGTGAGTTCCCTCCAGCAAAAGAACGGTAGCCGATGGCTAACCTTTACCGGTACTTTTGGCACACCGGACTCGGTTCTAACCCCCTCACTCTACAGTTTGACCTAAGGCTCAAAGATGGTGAGTAGCTTGCCCAAGGGAACCAGGAAGTGGCAGCACCAGAACGTAGACACAGAAGTCCGGACCCAGGGCCACCCTCTTAACCTCTGCGCGCACTACCCTGGCTTGAGACGGTGATCTGCCGTCTGTCTCTCAATCTGTCTGAAGAAACCCCTAGCTGAGGTGGAGGAGAAGGTCCCAGGCTATGCTGGACCCGCCCCACCCACCTGGCCCGTCTCCTCTCCATTTTCCAGGATGCCATCACGTGTCCCACTGGGGTCTTAACAGATCTAGCAGCCGCGGACTCCAGAGGGTCAGTCCAGAGGGTCCCAAACCTGCCTGCATATCGGCATCACAGGGAGCCTATGAATTCCAGGACCAGAGGTCTAAGATGGGCCCAGGAGTCTGGATTTTTCCTACCCTTCCCAGGTGATTTCTGATGTCAACCGCATTTGGAAACCTCTGATCCAACCCATCCCCTGGTCCTGACTCTGGGCTCCAGTGCAGGGGTCCGGGGATGGGTCACAGCAAGAGAATTCAAGGCAGACCCTTCCCCCAAGAGACGCTGGCATTACCTCTCGATACCCTCCCACCCCCACGAAAGCTGCCTCAGTGAACCAGCCTTTGCCCCATTCCCTTGGCCTGCCTGCATCAATTCACTCCTTCTGCTTCTCCTAAAGAGGCCCCAGTCCTCCATGAAGACTTCTTTCCTCTGCCCCGCAGGTGATGCACCAGTACAAACATGCTCCTTGTCCCTTCTGCCAGGCCAGGCTCCCATCTTGATTTCCTTGGCCTCCCTGCCCCTCCCTGTGGCTGGGACTGAGTGTGACTCAGGATGTCTGGTGTGCACCGTCTGGCCTTAGAGAAAACAGAGGGAAGGTGACTAGTAAGCGCTACCACCGGTTGAGCCCTTACTAGAAGCCACATGCTGCATGAAGCATGTTACAGTCATTATCACATTTAATTATCGACATCCCATGTGGCAGGTGATATTTCTACCCCCCAACCCTTCCAAAGGCAGGAAACTGAGGCACAGCGAGTCTAAATGACCTGCCAAAGTTCGCAGAATCCTGAAGGGAGAAGGGAATGAGCTGGAATTCCAAGTGTCCGTGTTCTTAACCTCGCCATTTCTCTGTCCAGCATCCTGGAAGGCTGCAGACTGATTCTGGCATTTCCGGCTGCCCCCTCTTGGGCATCCCCAACGTGGACACTCGGCTCGTCACGCGGCAGGCGGCCAGAGCGCAGGGCATGCCACAGGCTGTCAACGTGGAGGGTTCGTGGAGGGTTCAGCATGCAGCACCAGGGCCCTGCCCCCCTGCTTTCTGGCTGGTCCGCCGGCCCGCCTGGGGCCAAAGCCAGGGTCCGTACGAGGCCCGCCACCCAGGGCCCTTGGCCCTCCAAACCCGCTGCCCAAAGTGCAGTGCACTGACTTTCCCAGGCAGCCAGGCTGGGGTCCAGGATCAGAGGTGAACAAGAGGCAGCAGAGTGGAGTGGCAGACAGACCGCTGGTGAGTAACTTAGCCTCTCTGTGCCTTTTGTCTGTAAAATGGGGTCATAACAGCAATAGTAGTACTTTCCTCCGGAGACTTTCATGAGCACTGAATGAGCTAATGTCCATGAAGTGCTTAGCACAGTACCTGGCTACGGGCACCACGTGCCATAGGCCAGCCTCCTGAGAGCAAGAATGATGGGGAGAGGCTGAGCCCAGGGGCCTGGGGGAAGGCGGGTCCCTCTCGGCTCCAGAGAGAAGGCTGGGAAGGCAAGCGTGGGTAACTGAGCTGCAGTGCCAGCCCAGGGGAGGCCGTGGGTGGAGACTCCCAGCACCCAGGAGCCTCCTTTCTGCCCCCTCAGCCTCCTCAGCCACTCCCACCCCACCCCACCCACATCCAGCTGGGCCCGCCTGACTCCTGGGACCTTTCCATTCCCTGCACAGAACAGCACGACCCAAACAGCAGGACCCGGGACCCCCGCCCACGCCCTGTTGACTTCCCAGAGCCTCGGAACTCAGCAGCTGTCAGGCCCCAGGTGGGCCTTCCCTCTCCCCAGCCAACCCGAGGCCCGGGGGGACGGGCGGGAGCCCAGGAAGAAAGCAGTGATCAGCTAGAAGCCTCCACAAAAGGCAGAAAGGTCCATGGGGCATCTGGCCTCCGCTGCCCCCAGGTCCATGGGAATTTGCTTGCTTGAATGTTGCCTTGTTGAACATCTTTTTCTGTCCCCCACATTGGTCTGGGGGCTCCCCCAGCATAGGGCAATGTCTCCTTTCTCAAGCATAGGGCATTCTGGGAGCAGAGGGCTGTATCGCCCCTAAAACGTTGGGTATCTACTAAGGTGAGGAGTTCTGGGTACCCCCCTAAAATTGGGAGCTCCCGAAAGTGAAAGCCCTATCTTTCTCTCTGTGTGCCAAATCCACGTGTGTTTGGGTACAAGCTGCCAAGAGCGCCATTCCTGAACCTGGCCCACTGGAACATTCCTTGGCAGGGGAAGGGAGGAGCTGGCGTCTCTGGCTACAGGACACTCTGCCCTCCCACTCTGTCCTAACCAGCATGCTGAGGGTCCCACCTCGGCTGGGCCTGGGAGAGTTGAGCAGGGGCCTCTCTGTGGCGCCCCCCCCCCCATCCAGACAGAAATGAGCAGCGGGTCTGAATCCCAGTCAACAACTCCACCTCCAAGCACCTACTGCAACCTGAGACCAGATGTTTAACCTTTGGGGGCCTCAGTCTTCCTATCTGCAAAATGGGCTAATGATTCCTTCTTTATTAAAAGGATCTGAAGGGAATAAGGGAAGAAAAGGGCCTCAACCTGAGAGGGGTTTGACATTAACCCCATGTCTGGCAACCGGTTACCTCTTGTCCATCAATCTACTATTTACTTACTGTCTACTGGGTGCCCTACCTGGATCATCTCAGTAACACACTCAATCCTGCACCCTTAACGGGGCTACCTTCTGTCTACTCTGTCCCCTCCCATCACCTGCTGGGGCCAGGGCACCTGAAGCCTTGACATCGATTTGGAGCCCTGACTCACTTCTGTGGGCTTCGTTGTGGGAGCGGGAGTTTCCTCTCCTCCAATGGCCTTCGGTGGAGGGAGCCCACATCAGCAGAAGCAGGGAAAAGAGAGGCCCAGGAAACAAAGGCTATTATAGGTCTCCTAGCTCCTGGCCAGGGAGTGGACCCAGGCCACAGGCCTTTGGCACACACCACCTGCCCAGCCCTGTGCTCAGCACCTCTGTCACTGGATTTTTGGACCTGTTTTACTACGCTGCTGGGTTACTCCAGGAAAGCAGGCAGTGCTGGGTCCAAGAAAGAAAATGCCTATATAGGCCAGGCGTTGAGCTGAACCCTCACCAGTAGGCCTCATCTCACGGAATCCTGGTCAGAGCACTAGGACTCAGGTACCACTGCCCCCCACTTTGCAGGCTAGAACACCAAGCTTCGCAGAGATTAGTCACTACGGGCTTTACCACTAGGAGATGTGTGGCCTTGGGCACAACCTGGCACAAAGGAGGTACTAAGAAATAGCGGTTCCCATCGTCTCCCCTGGTGAGGGTCTGCTCCACCACCATCCTGCCCCCTCTGACTCCCAGGTTCTCAGGAGGGAGGGCAGAGGAAACAGGGAGCCTGGTCAGTGTGGCCAGTTTGGCTCTGCTTTGCTGGGGCTGCCCACAGTCTGCTCTCCTCCGGGCTCTGAGATGTTCAGCAGGCAGCCCTGGAGGTGACCCAGGGAGCAGTGGGGAAGGCAGTAGCACCTACTCAGAAAGACGGGGTACACTCTGAAATCCAATCTGCCTTGGGGGACGGAGAAGGAACACTAGACATGGAGCCCAGCGGGTCTAGAACCAGTAACTCCAGGGCTGGACAACCCTGGGCAGTCACTGCACCTGTCTGAGCCTCAGTTTCCGCATGTGCAACCTGGAGAGAGTAAGACCCACCGGCAGGCACACCGCAGACCACAGAAGGCTGATATGACAGTGTAAATAGCTCTGCTATGTGCGCCACCCGGTCCACTCCCCACCCCAGTGGCTGTAATGCCTAATGTCTCTGAGCCCGGCTCCCAAGCCAGACACACCTGGGTGTCAATCCTGGTGCCAAGGCCCACAAGCTGTGTGATCTTGGGCAAGTGAATCGACTCCGGGACCTTGGTGTGCCCAGCTGGAAAAGGGGATAATAGACGGGCTCGCTTCCCAGGCTCAAGATCACCGTTAACTGATGGCTGGCCCATAGTAAGTGCTCCATAAACAGTAGCCATCGGTATCGCTATTATGAGAGCTATTATGACTTGGGCCTCGGCTGTCTCTCTCCTCCAGGCTGCACGGACGGACGTGGGAACTGCAGCTCCAAGAGGGGAAGTGATCTGTCCGAGTCACCAGCGAGTCACTGGCCAAGCGGCCGGAACCCAGATCCCCTCGGAAGCCCAGGCCTCCCGTGCAGCCCAGTAGCCCGCAGCCCAGCCCTCCCGCCCGGCCCCGGCCCGCGCCCTCACCCTCCGGCCTGGCATCGCCTTTCGCTTCGGCCAGGAGCAGCCAGCCCAGCGGGGCCAGGAGCAGCAGCGGCCGCATGACCCGGGTCTGCGGACGTCCGGCCGTCCCCGCGGCGCTCGCAGGCAGGCTGGAAACTTCGCGACGGGGCCCGCGGTCCGGCTGCCACGCACGGGGCCCGCCCCGGGGGCGGGGTCGCGCCGCCCTCTCCCCCGCCCCCTCCCCGCCGCCCGCCGGGGGGAAGGGTTTTCCCCGCAGACTCGCCCGAACCCCGGCCTCCGGGAGCTGGGGCGGCTCCCGGGTCCTTCCGCCCGCTCGCCCTCACCCCGTTCTTTCCTGGGGCTTCTGTGCCGCAGGAGGCGGGGGATACGGGGGTGTTCAGGGCGTTCAGGGCCATCCACACCCCTGGAGAGACCCCCCCACGCCCCCACCCCCGGCTGCTGGAAGTGCGGAAAATGCATCACCATCCACCAAAAAAGGAAATCCCTGAATCCGCCTTTATGTCTCTGGGCGGCAAACAGAACCGCTGAGCCAAGGAACGTCTCGCTCTCAAGTTGCCTTTTAAGTGAGTGAATGAAAGAAAGGAAAGAAAGAAGGAGGGAAGGAAGAGAGGAAGGAAGGGAGTTAGTTTAGTTAGTTCAGTGGCAGTTAGTTAGTTTAGGACATGGAACGACTCCTGGAGCAGATGTCAGCCAGGGGCGTCCAAGTCTGGGGAAAGGCATCCTCCCTTCCTAGGAAGAGGCCCTCAGACAGATCTGGGAGTCTCTTGCCTGCAGATTAAGCTCCAGAGGCGTGGGTGGTGAGTGCAACTCTGGGTGCACAGCAATCCCCCCGCAAACCCTGGAGGGGCAAAGGGTGGCCGAAGGGGCATGTCTTGGATGTTAATGAACAACCCGAGTAGGTGCTGGGGGAAAGAGAAATCAGTGCTCTAAGGCTGCTTCAGCAAGGGACATACTCTGTCAACGGAAGTGAGCATACGGTGTGACCCCACTCAGTAAAAATACAGTGTCACGAGTACAATAGAAACAGTGCTTAAAGCAAATGACAGGCAAATGTTTACAGTGATTATTTCCAGGTGTGGGACTGTATATATGTATAGTTATACGTTATATATTACATATATTATTTCCTGGGAGTTTTATTTGTTTATTTATTTTAAATAGGTTCCATGCCCAGCATGGAGCCCAACACGGGGCTTGAACTCACAGTCCTGAGATCAAGACCTAAGATGAGATCACGAGTCGGATGTGGACCTTTAACCAACTGAGCCACCCAGGCACCCCTAGTTTTCTTTCTTATTTATATTTTTCATTGCTTTTATCATTTTTTCTTGCAATTAATATATCCTATTTGAACAATCCAAACAAAACCAACATATGTTATTGCGAGAAGATAGGTACGGTCCCTGGGCACCTTGGAGCTCATCTCCTTGTATGGAGGTTTACTCATTCACTGTACAGATGGTAGAAGCAAGCGCTGAGGGACCCGGTAGCTAGCTCAAGGTCACAAGGCAAGTAAAGGGAAGAGGTGTGAGTGCGATCCAGGTTTTCTATGTCCCAACTGGGACCCAGGGCAGGCGGGGAGTTTCTGCAGCTGGAGGCAGGATTTGGTGCCAGAATCCACCGGATGTTTTTGAATTCAGGAGGATACGGACTTGAAGTTCCAGCTCTTTCGAGAAGGAAAGTGGAGGGATGGGCAGAGGGATGGAGAATGAATATATGTTGCCTGGCTCAGTTTTCAAAGCTCTTTCTCATTCTGTGTTCACAACAGCCCTGTGAGTTAGGCAGTGTCCTAGTTGTGAAATAAGGAAACTGAGGCCCAGAGAAGTAAAGCGACCCTGCTTGACATCACCCAACTGATGTGGGACCACAGTGAGGGAGGTGGCTTTAGAACCTAGTTCTAACTCTCATTTGCTGGGACCCAAAGAGAACCTCAATGGTCACGTACTTTGGACGGAAAAAAGTCCTTGGACAGTGAGGTTCCCTTGGTCCACATGCCCAGAGCATTGTAAATCAGGAGAGGGAATCAATCTGGGAGGCTGCTGGCCTCTTCTGGAGAAAGGATTCACCCTGGCGAAGCCTGCCCTTCATTCTTTCCGTATCTATTTCCTGTTCCCTTTGCCAGATTGCTAGAACTTGAACCTGGTCCAAACTTCATCCAAAAGCAGAGTGTGTCTCCTTAACCAGTAGTGGCTGCTGCCCAGATGTTACTGCTGGTACGTGCTGCACGTGTTGTGCTCACTTAAAGGCGCAGTATTTAGCTTTCCTGGGAAGATGCAGAAAGGACAGCCAGCCTGGAGGGCGGTGTCTGGTGCCAGGGGGTAGGGCTGCTGTTCTCATTTTCATTATCTTCTTCTTTTTTTAAGTTTATTTACTTATTTTGAGAGAGTGTATGCACACACGTGAGCAGGGGAGGAGCAGAGAAAGGGGGGAGACAGAATCCCAAGCAGGCTCCACGCTGTCAGTGCCGAGCCTGATGCGGGGCTTGAAATCACAAACCCATGAGATTATGACCTGAGCTGAAGTTGGAAGGCTGCCAGCTGACCCTCAGCCCCCTCTGCCTTTACATCATCAGATAGTCCCACTGGCACGTAGCCCCTTTAATAATAATGATGATGATGGGGCACCTGGGTGGCAACTTCAGCTCAGATCATGATCTCGTAGTTTGTGGGTTCGAGCCCCGCATCGGGCTCTGTGCTGATAGCTAGCTCAGAGCCTGGAGCCTGTTTTGGATTCTGTGTCTCTGTCTCTCTCTGACCCTCCCCTGCTCACGCACGCGCGCGCTCTCTCTCTCTCTCTCTCTCTCAGAAATAAATAAAACATTTAAAAAAATGATGATGATGATGGGGTGTCTGGGTGCCTCAGTCGGTTAAACATTCAACTCTTGATCTTAGCTCAGGTCTTGATCTTAGGGTTGTGAGTTCAAGCCCCGAGTTGGGCTCTGTGCTGGGTGTAAAGCCTACTTAAATAATAATAATAATTTATTATTTATTTATAAAGTTATAATTATATTAGTATAATAATTGTTATAATATAATAATAATTAATAGAATTTCCAAGCTGTTTCCTTAAGTGAAAATGGAGAGATACCAGTGTATATTATATGCTCCAATTTCTGTGAATGGAAAATAGCAGTAGTTGAGTCTAGGGAGAGGAACAGATGAATTGGGGCCCCAAGAGAGGAAGACTTCACCTGTCACCTTATAGCACATTCAGAATTTTGGATCATGTATGTGTGTTTCTTGTTTCCTGGTAAAAATAAATAGTGAATGTTTATTTTAAGCCAGGCAGTATGCAAAATGTTTCACATGCTTGTGTCTCTTAAGTCTCACAGCAGCCCTACTCTGTTTTATTTATTTATTTATTTATTTTTATTATTTTTTTAATATAAAATTTTAAATGTTATTTATTTGTGAGAGAGAGAGAGAGACAGCATGAGCAGGGGAGGGTCAGAGAGAGAGAGGGACATACAGAATCTGAGCTAGCCGTCGGCACAGAGCCCGACACGGGGCTCAAACCCACGAACTGTGAGATCATGACCTGAGCCGAAGTCGGACGCTTAAGGAGCCACCCAGGCAACCCTTATTTATTTTTTAAAATGCTTATTTCTTTATTTTGAGAGAGAGACAGCATGAGCGGGAGAGGGACAGAGAGAGGGAGAGAGAATCCCAAGCAGGCTCTGCACTGTCAGTGCACAATCCAATGCAGGGCTCAATCTCATGAATCTTGAGATCATGACCTGAGCCAAAATCAAGAGTCAGATGCTTTACCGACCGAGCCATCCAGGCACCCCAGTACTACTTTATTTTATAATCCCCATTTTATGGCTGAGGAAGCCCAGGGAAGCTAGTTGACTTGCTAGCAAGGGGGAAGGCCAAGATTTGAAGCCCAGAGAGCCTGATGTCAGGGTCCTCTCTCTGGACTCCTGGCTTTGTGTAGCTCTGTTGCTTACCCAGGGCTTCGATTCCCTTATAGGGGTGGGGAGTGGGGAGGATGGCTGATTTGGGGTAGGGGGTGTTGAGAGTGGCAAGGGAGTTAAGAACACAAATAATGAGGCTTCCCTTTGACCCAGGAATCCGCTTCCAGGAATTGCTCCCCCTGAAACATTCACGTAAGTAGACCAAGGTCTACGTCTATTACACAGTTGTTTGTCATAGCCAAAATAATTATGTGGCTTTACATTTACTCAACACTCACGATATGTCATGCACCTTGCACACCTTGCCTGCATTAGCTTCGTTATTCCCCAAAAACATAAAACGCAGGGGCGCCTGGCTGATTCAGTCAGTAGAGTGTGCAACTCTTGATCTATGGATTGTGAGTTCGGACTCCACGTTGGGTGTAGAGATTACTTAAAAATAAAAAATCTTTAGGAAAAAAATATAAAAGAGGCAGATTCACTAGTCATCCCTGTTTCACAGGTAGAATCCTTGGCTCTCACACACACCTGTGCTGCCCAGGTACTTCTGCCTCCTGAAAGAGCTGGATGGATCCTGTCTTTCTGACTGTAGGTCATGGATTCCTGCACAACCATGAACATATTCTGTGGGGGTTGTGAACTCCAGGCGGGAATTAAGAATTGTGTTTATGGGGCTGCCCGTCTGGCTCAGTCAGAAGAGCATGTGATTCTTGGGGGTGCCTGGGTGGCTCAGTCAGTTGAGGACTTTGGCTCAGGTCCTGATCTCACGTTTGTGAGTTCAAGCCCAGAATCGGGTGGTCGGTGGTACCCTCTGTCCCCCTCTCCCTGTCCCTCCCCCACTCGTGCTCTCCCTGAAATTAATTAATTAATTAAATTAAAAAGAAAAAAGAGGATGACTCTTGATCTTGGGGTCCTGAGTTCAAGTCCTATGTTGGGTGTAGAAATTCCTTAAATAAATAAATAAATAAATAAATAGGGTCTCCTGGGTGGCTCAGTCGGTCAAGCGTCGGACCTCAGCTCAGGCCATGATCTCCCAGTCCATGAGTTCGAGTCCCCCAGTCAGGCTCTGTGCTGACAGCTCAGAGCCTTGGAGCCTGCTTTGGATTCTGTGTTTCCCTCTCTCTCTGCCCCTCCCCCACTCACGCTCAGTCCGCCTCAAAAACAAATACACACAAATAAACTATTAAAAAACAGTTGTGTTTATGCTTTGACAATAGCCTTGGGGAAAAAAAGAAAGCATATTTGCAGGGCCTCCTGGACAGACACCTTCTCACTGGGTGCTAGCACTCCCAACTCTGCAAACACGTGTGTCTGCTCAGTCCACAAGAAGCCACCTCAAATGACCGTTTCATTTTCAACAACTGAGAAGCACTCTCTGGCTTTGGAATGTCCTGAAACCCAAGTGGAAACAATGGTCCCATTGTGCCCCCCCTGGGCTCATATTGAAAATCTTCCCCCTGAAACAAGGCAAAATTTCTCTTTGGCATGGATGATTCACAACTTAAAGGCATTTTCAAATAATGAGACTTTAGTGTCATATGTTATTTAATAAGTTGAAACTCGGGGTGACATCAAGAAGATGATGTGGTGTGGTAGAGAAATGAGACAGTCCTGGGCGGGATTCGAGTCTCCGTATGCTGATCTGGAAGACGTGTCAACAAAATAGTTTGTAGAAAGTCTAGTTTCCAGTGGTTTCTGTCTTTCTTCTTTTCTTTCTTTCCTTTCTCTCGCTCTCGCTGTCCTTCCACATACTAATTTTTTTGCAGGGAAAATCGTCATTTTTACAGAAAAAAGTTAATTTTTTTCTTTCATCTTAGGGCTGCTGAATCCATCAGTAGCCAACGGGGCCCAACACGTGTTCAGTTTGGCCGTCTCGGTGTCCGTTTTACGTGAGCTGGAGGCTCTCGCGCCTCGACTGCTCCCCCAGACCCCAGCCCCCGCTACGACTTCGCTCTAAGAGCCGGGGAACGCGCCGCCCAGCTCCGCGGCTCCCGTCAGGTCCTCGCCGTGGCTCCGCCCCCTTCGCTCCGCCCCGCCCCTGCCTCTTCCCTCCGCCCTTTCCTTTCCTTAGCGTCGCAAAAGAGTCGGCGGCGCTTGACGGCCGGGGCTGTTTGACGGCCGGAGGCGGCCGAGAGGGAGGAGGAAGCAGCGGCGGCGGCTGCAGCGGGGACCCGGGTGGGCGCCGCGGTCCGGGCGGGGGAGTGAGGCGCGGGCGGCCGGGCCGGGGGGCTGGGCGGCGGGCCCGGCGGCCGCCCCCGCGCCGCGCCTGGCGGCCCGATGTGGCTGCAGCAGCGGCTTAAGGGGCTGCCGGGACTGCTGTCGAGCAGCTGGGCCCGCCGCCTACTCTGCCTGCTCGGCCTCCTGCTGCTGCTTCTGTGGTTCGCCGGCTCCGGGGCGCGGCGGGCCGCGGGCGGCCTGCACCTGCTGCCCTGGTACCGGGGCGAGCCGGGCGCCGCCGAGTCCTCTGCCTGCCTGGAGGCGGCCACCCGCGCCTGGCGCGGCCTGCGGGAGCGCGGCGAGGCTGTCCCCCTGGGCCCTGGAGTGCCGGCCCTGGTCGCCAACGGCTTCCTGGCACTGGACGTGGCCGCCAACCGGCTGTGGGTGACTCCTGGAGAGCGGGAGCCCGCCGTGGCGCCGGACTTCGTGCCCTTCGTGCAGCTGCGGCCGCTGAGTGCGCTCTCCGAAGCCGGCGAGTCAGTACTGCTGCTGCGTGAAGGGCTGCTGCGCCGAGTGCGTTGCCTGCAGCTTGGGACCTCAGGCCCCGGCTTTGCGGCCGCCGTCCCCGGACCCGCCTCGGCCTCCGGCCTGGTCACAGGATCCGGCCGCGACTGCGTGCTGCTGCAAGAGGACTTCCTGGCGCACCGGGGCCGACCCCACGTCTATCTGCAGCGCATCCAGCTCAACAATCCCACGGAGAGGGTGGCCGCGCTGCAGACTGTGGGGCCCACTGCCGGCCCGGTCCCCAGAGCCTTCACCAGTACCCTGGAGAAGGTGGGAGATCATCAGTTCCTCCTCTACTCGGGCCGGTCCCCGCCTTTTCCCACGGGGCTGGTGCACCTGGTGGTGGTGGCCGCCAAGAAGCTAGTGAACCGGCTCCAAGTGGCTCCCAAGACCCAGCTGGACGAGACAGTGTTGTGGGTGGTGCATGTTTCAGGCCCTATTAACCCCCAGGTGCTCAAAAGCAAAGCGGCCAAGGAGCTCAAGGTGCTCCAGGATTTGGCACGAAAGGAGATGCTGGAGCTCTTGGAGATGCCAGCGGCTGAGATACTTCAAGACCACCAGCGCCTCTGGGCTCAGCTCTTCAGCCCAGGTGAGGCCTGGCCGGTGTTGGGTCCCCGCTGCACAGCTTCCACCAGGGGGGGACACAGTCCGCCCTGGAGATGCCCCACTCAGGGCTGCAGAGGTGATCCTCGAGGGGAGCAGTGGGGCTGGTTAAAGGGAGCGTGGCCACTGACCTCGGCTGACTCTCTGCCGCCACCACTTTGTATTTGCCTGAGCGACGTTGGACCAGTTTACTGATCCCTGCAGGCTTGTATTCAACAACAGTAGCATCTCAGAGGGCTTTTGTGAGAGTCCAGTGAAGGAATGAGCGTAAAAGACGGGCCTTACTGTTATTTAGCCTCATAAATGAGTCCTGATTTGGAGAGTGGTTTGGGGGGTCAGTTTGTAAAGGTAAATAAGGCAGAAAGGACTGGCCGGTCCCCACATTCTTTCCTCGGTCCCTCACAGTCTGGCTGGTGACAGGCATGGGTTTGTTTTTTTTTAATGTTTATTTTTGAGAGAACAAGAGGGAGAGAGATGGCAGGGGAGGGGCAGAGAGAAGGAGACAGAAGATCCAAAGTGAGCTCTGCACTGATAACAGAGAGCCCCATGCAGGGCTTGAACTCACGAGCTGTGAGATCATGACCTGAGCCAAAGTTGGATGCTTAACTGACTGAGCCACCCAGGCACTCCAACAACCCCGCCTTTTTTTTAATATATATATATATATATATATTTTTTTTTTTTTTTTTTTTTTTTT